GAGCTGAGGGGTTTTCCTGGTGTGGAATTTGTGTGAGAGAGGCGTGGTCAGCAAAGGGTCCTCGCAGGAGGTGATGCCTGAGTGGACTTTTAATGGTGAGCACTTCAGGCTGGCCCAGCTGAACATGTTCAGCATCTACAGGTTTAAATTTATGCAAATACTGTTTTATTCCCCTGTCTCCAAGTGAATATATTTACAAAGTGAATTGTAATGTGTTTGATTTTATACTAGGGCTTTCAAATGATCGAAACTCGGGAACTTTTTATCTTGATGCTGTTGTTTGTGGTTTGGTTTTTGTTTGGTTTGGTTTGTTTTTTTGACACGGAGTCTCTCTGTTGCCCAGGCTAGAGTGCAGTCTCAGCTCTCTGCAATCTCCTCCTCCCGGGTTCAAAGGATTCTTCTGCCTCAGCCTCCTGAGTAGCTAGAACTACAGGTGCTTGCCACCATGCCCAGCTAATTTTTATATTTTTAGTAGAGATGGGGTTTCACCATATGGCGAGGCTGGTTTCGAACTCCTGACCTCATGATCCGCCCACCTTAGCCTCCCAAAGTGCTGGGATTATAGGCGCAAGCCACCACGCCCAGCCTATTTTGTTGTTGTTGCTGTGGTTTTGTTTCTAAAAGGGTATTTAGGTAGCTAGGCATAATCAGCCAGCTGGTCTTCAGGAAATAGTCTTTGGTTTAGCAGGGGATGTTGACAGAAGTCTGCTTTGAGCATGTAAACACACTCAGTGGGTCTCCTTATCTTTGCCTCCTTGGCCCTTTCAGCTCTTCCCTAGAGAGTCTCCAGGTCATGAGTTACAGGCTTGTGGAGCTCTTACGAGGATAGCGCCAACCTGGATGTGAGAGAGTTGGGGTCACTGTTTATCTCTCCCTTGAGCATCTGGTACCTGAAAGAAGGCAGATGGCCAGAGAGGGACTCCTTGGGCTGCATAAAAGAATCACATTTTGAAAAAATTGTCTTCTTCATACCCAGCCCTTATCTGGATTATTTTTAAGATATGAGAGGATACCTATTACCAGAAACATTAATATAATGATTCCTAGTCATTGTGTAAAAAATAAAGCTTAGCCATAGCACGTGACTCGTGGGACTGGCTTATGTGGCAGTCACTATAAACCATATCCTCTCTTACCTCTCTCTTCTGATGAATGTCCCTCCCCTTTTTTTTAGTACAGGTGCTTTATGAAACAGTGAGAACTCATAAATGCACTTGCAGGTGCTGAACATCTTGTAAAAACCCACAGACATAACTCCTGCACACGTAAATTCCATCTAAACAATACAAGGCCATGGTATGTGGCTGCCTGAAGTTACATACGGATTTGAACTTGAGTGACTGTTTACCAAATGCTTACTAAGTGCCAAGCCTTGGAATGAACCCTTTTCATGTACTAGCTCATGTGATCCTCACAGCATCCCCATGAAATAAAACACTATTATTTTATCCATTTTACATATGAAAAGACTGAGGTTTAGAAAGCTTGTTACCTGGATGAAGGTCCTATAAATAGAATAGATTATAAATGAGCCTTAAAGAATCCATAGACAGAAGCACCTAGCAATTTGTCATTGTTACTGACCTAGTAAATGATGGGCCAGGCCTTGAAGCCTGATCTGACTCCAGAACCTGTGCTAATAATTACCACATTGTTCTGGGCACTTTGTGCCAATAGTGAATTCATCAGTTCATCTGGTGAACTGGGGGTGATACATTGCTTAGTTTCCCACTAGAGTCACCACACTAACTTTGCTAATTGAAGTGTGTGTTGAGTATGCATTTCCTATTTAGGATTATCCTCGATGTGAGGATCCATTAAGAGTGAAACTGACCAAGCCCATGGATAAAATCCCGTTTATCCATATTTAAAGGATTCTTACTTCACTTAGCAGTTTAAAACAACTGTTTCTTCTTTCACAGAGTGGGAAAATCTGAGTGGTTTTACTGGATCCTTTGTGGATGTGTAGGAATATCCCAATCCTATACCATGAAGAAAACGTGTGGTGCTTCATCTGTTCTCTCTGCTTAGCATTAGTTCAAAAATTTAATCTTAGAGCACCAATTCCTCTGTGAGAAATACTCATTGATGGAGCTAGAGTCGCAGCCATGGAGATATTTTGTCATCTGGAACATCCTTATTAGATTCTGGGCTTCTGAAGGCCAGGTGAAGTATAAATAAAATATGGCCGGTTTTCTCTGGCAGAGTTAAGCCTTGGCACTTGAGTACATTCTCTCAGTGTGTCTTTTGCTTCCTTGCTAAGGAAATTGGTAAGTAGGCAGAATAGCAGGGGATTAGGGGAAAAGCCATTCAGTGTGGTTAAGGTGCCAGTGTGTGGCAAGACCATAAGCGCATGGAAGTTTACGGAGTGCTGTTTGGTGGTGAAGAACTCTCTCTGCCTATTGTGTTTTCATTCAGACATCAGATGTGCTGTTTGATCTTAACACATCTGCTCCATTGGAATGTCACAGGCAATAAGTACACAAGAAGCAAGAAAAAAATTGCTTATTTACTGAAGTGAAAAAAAAAATTATTTCGGCATTTCCAAGTAATTCATTTCCTACAATCTTAATGTGTGTGACAAAAAGCTCATTGCCAGGAAATTATGCAGCATTTGCTTAGGCTTCATTCTGAACACATGAGGCTTGGGAGAGTTACCCTAAAGTTTTTATTTTAGGTGTCCTGAGATATTGTGGTGCTCACAGGGCAGAAGAAATGGTTCATATTGTTATTCAGGTATTATTAAACCTAGGTCACATTCAAGTCCATTAAGCAACAGCCTCAAATCCTGTTAATTAATGGATTCAGATTGGTTGGTCTAAAGAAACTAATTAAATTTTCTCTCAAGATTTTCTATTTAAATAGACAAACATTTGCGCTGCTTGCATTTCCTCCAGAGTTGGTCTTTGAAATTTAGAGTTGATGAAGGTATCCATACTTGATGGCAGGCCTTGATTTTCAGAGGTCAGGAAGCACTGCGCGTTCTCTGACTAAACCTGCAGAGATCCTGATCTGCGTCTTCTAGTACCTTTCTTCTCAGTCAGAAAGTTCTGGACTCCCTGTGATACCTTGTGCCCAACCATGGCCTGACGAAGGTCACCTGTTTTCCACTGGAAAGCTGCCCTCTAGGAGCGGGCAGATCACAGAGATCACAAGCCTGGAGGATAACAACCCGGGATTCTTCATATTCCATAAAGCTGGGACATCCTGGGACTAGTACATCCCACTGTTTTCTTCCATTTTTTTCTGAAGCCGTCAGATCTCCCCGACCCCTGAGCCACCTACCCAGGCCACACCCCATAGTTATAAGTTCTAACAGTCTCATTTCTGTTAGCTGTATAATAAGAGTAAAATGCAGAGCATGAGTTTCCTAATGATAGTAGAGGTTTCCCTTTATCCTGCAGCTTCCAGGCTCCTGGCTACCAAGTTTTCCTCAACACCACCCCCACCCTCACCCGTGATCTCCGGTGGTTCTACTGCTCAAGGCGAAATGACCCAGCCAGCATTAGGAGGAGCTCTGCTGGCCTCTCAAAGCTTCTTTTCTCCCCAACTCCCTGCCCTGTGGACGTCTCTGGCATTATGAGCATGTAGTTTGCAGGAAATGAAAGTTTATTCTTTCAAAAAACCAAAAAGATTGAGTACCCCGTTGTGTGCAAAACAAAAGTGAATAGGTCCAGAAAACCTGTGATGTTAGTGCTTTGCCCCAGAATTCCTTCAGGAGCTCCCTGGTTCTCCAGGATGTCACAATGGGCTGTGCTCAGGGTTGGCCTGACACCTATAGCCCAGCAGCTTGAGCCTGGCACCCTTCAGCTGAACCTTTCTAAATGATGGTTCAGTTAGAGCAGCTGCAAAGAGAGGAGAGCTGGTGAGAAGTAGGGGATTACTGTGAAAAGATGAGGGTAAAAGAGAGCCCAGCATGCAGCTCAATCTAGTTGAGCCATCTCCTTCCGTCTCGGCACTTGCCCGTGTGGTAGGTGACGCTCTGTGTGAGGGCAGAAGGAAACGATGCCCTGGGGCCCAGTTATCCTTTCTCACTTAATGTGCCTCTGGGGGCTAGAACAGAACAGTCTCCTTGTTGCGGATAGGGAGGACACAGCTTCATCAAGCCCAGGTTTGGACCCTGCCCATCAGCAACCTGCGGTGCTCCAGCAGTGAGAAGAACACCCACTGAGTTGGTATGTGCCGAGGCATTTCTGGGAGCAGTTATTTCATTTTTGGACCCAGGAAATCAGCACCACTGAACTGCAGCTTGCCCCCTTTGTCATCGTGGCTCCCAGCTGCGGTTGTTGCTCTGAGGACTCAGAGCAAGTTGCTGCTGCCATCTATGGTTTGTCTTGGGGGAAGCACATGGTTTGCCTGCTGGAAAAGGAAGCAGCTGCCTTGCAGATTCAGCAACACAGCACCCTCTCTCTATCTGAGGGGAAAATAAACACCAAGATGTTGGTTTCCCCCAGTGTCAAACCCATTATGAAAACCTGTGTTTACTGACCTACCATCATTTTAAAGCAGTTCCATTTGAACTGCAATCAAATCTCCAAGTGACCTTTCTGTCCCTCCGCCCAGCATTCCTGAAAGGGCCTGTTGTTTCTTTGGTTCAATGAAGAAACCTTCTGTGTAGTTAAGCAAGTGTTTTTCCAGTCATGTTTCCTGGTGAGTTACAGAAAGATTATTGTTGGGTCTTGGTGGTGGTGGTGGTGGTGGTGGTGTTTTCTTTAATACTCCAACCTCCCTAACCCCTTGATATCCCCAGACACTTAATTTTTTGCCTCCTTAGTGGAAGAGAGCACAGTGAGCTGAGCAGCTCTGTGGGGTCTTTAGAAGTTTGTAGTTTTTTCAGATCCTGGTGTAAGCTGACTTCTCTCTGTCCCACTCCCCAGGGCCTGGGAGCCTTCCAAAGTGAGGTGTACACACGGGAATGGGCCACAGAACCGCCCCCTGCAAGCCAGGAATGCACGTCCTGCCTGATGTGTTCATATAGTGTGCGGTTTTCTGTCTTACAGTTGTTTGTTGGGCTTGGGTTCCCTTATGAGGGTCCAGCTCCCCTGGAGGCTATCGCAAATGGATGTGCGTTTCTGAATCCCAAGTTCAGCCCACCCAAAAGCAGCAAAAACACAGACTTTTTCATTGGCAAGCCAACTCTGAGAGAGGTAAGCATCTATCAAAATTATTCTACTTTGAATAATATGAATAATAGCTATTTATTGAGTGCTAGTGTCGATATTAACATCATTTAACATGGTTGGGTGGGAGATGAAGATGTGGAGGCTTAGAGAGACAAGTGACCTGATCATGTCATCACCTTGCGAGTTAGGGACAGTATTTGAGGCTGTTTCTGCCTTCGCCAAGTAAGGGATCTTGACACTGTACCCCAGCTCTAGCTTATTGTAAACTCAGACATTCTAGCCTTGTGCTTATAGCTGAACTCTAATTTCCTGAATGTTTGGAGTTTAAGGAGTGAGGTCAACTGGTTAGCAGATATTTGTGGAGAATCTGCTCCCTGTGATGGGCTTTGGAGAATAAAAAGTGGGCTGTGGGAGTTTTCAAAGAACGTCAACCTCAGGATACCAGGAATATTGTGGGCAGTTGAAGTAATGTGACTTATTTTTCACCCACCATCCCGAGATGTAATCCTGCCATTGCTAGAACCATTTACAGAAGCCTCATTTGAATTGCCTTCAGAGATCCTTTTGAAAATCTGCAGTGTGTGATGCATCACTGTTGAGGGTAGTTGGATTTGATTTAGAGCAATAAAAAAAAGTCTTTTACAGCTAAGTGTGAGTGATCAAGCTGAATGTTTATGCATCTGTCAGAAACAGGTGTGTGCAAGAAACCATAAGATTGATTTTCTCATTATTTCTGTGTAGTTAATAGTAAGTGGCTCTGTAGGTTGCTTATAAAGGTAAGTCATAGCAGCATCCTTGTCATTCAGGGCCTTTGATTGGGGGATTACATTGATGAGCAGCCCTCCTATGGCATATCAATGTAGAACGACAGTTTATAAAATGTAAATTTTTCTATTCTACTTTTAAACCCTCTGAGTCATTTTCTCTCCCCAAGAGTATATAAGGTGCATTTTCAATGATTATTTTGTATTAGTCAGTCAGAAACCTTGACAATTTACAGAACTGATTATTTTGAGAGTTATTTTTCTCTGACCCTTTCTATCATTGTTGAAATGGCTAAAGGAGATAGAAGATCAGTAAGATCCATAGTTTATCTATGAAAGGTTAATCTGTGGCCCAGATAACTTCCAACAAGGGTTACCTGTGTGTAGGTGGGAGATGGGATGGGGCGGGGGGTCCCTTCTAGAATAATAATTTGAATTCTTCATTTGGGGAGTGGTTTTGTATTAAGAGGTCAGTTTATTCATTCATAACTCAGCAATACTTAATGCACATCTGTGTGCTAGGTGCTATAGGAAGTGATAGGACATAGAGACTAGGGACATCCAGTCTGCCATGAGCCTATTCTTTTGAAAAGTTTAAAAAGATGCTACCCAGCAGTGAAAATATCTCAGGTTAGTAATCCCTGTTTTAGCATGTGACTGTCTTGTTTGAAACTTTGGAGTTAGGGGTGGAACAGAAATGAATAAGTCATCCCTTGGGTTTTTTGTTTATTTTTGACAAATATATATAAGGTGTACACCTTGGTGTTTCGATAAATATACACATTGTGAAATAGTCATTACAATCAAGCTAATATCCATCAGCTTACATACTAAATAGATTTTTTTTCATGGCAAAAACACATATCTCCTTTTTTGGCAAATTTCAAGTATGCAATGCAGTATTGTTCACTGTAGTCATAGTGCTGCACGCTAGCTCTCCAGAACTTACTCAACTTGCATAACTCAAACTTTGACCAAGGTCTCCCCAGTCCCCGTGCACCAGTTTCTGGGAATCACAAATCTGTTCTCTGCTTCTGTGAGTTCACTGTTTTACATACCACATCGATGTGGGATCATGCAGAATTTTCCTTCAATGTCTGGCTTGTTTCACTTAGCATAATGTTTTCCACATTCATCCATGTTGCCACCACTGACAGAATTTCCTTCTTTTGTAGGCTAAATATTTCATATACACGTAATTTGTTTATCCATTTATCCTCTGGAGACCACTTAGTTTGGTTCCATATCTTGGCTATTATGAATAACACTGCAGTATACATGGGAATGCAGATACCTCTTTAACATACTGATTTTAATTGCTTTTGATATATACCCAGCAGTGGGATTGCTGGCTTATGTGGAGTTCTATTTTTTTATTTTTTGAGGCACCTCCATTTTCTTTTTCATTGTGGCTGTAGCATTACATTTTCACCAGCAGGGCACCAAGTTTTCCTTTTACCACATTCTTGCCAGGTACTTGTTATCTTTTGTCTTTTTGATAAAAACCATTTTAACAGGCATGAGGTGATATCTCCTCGTGGTTTTGATTTGCATCTTCCTGATGATGAATGATGTTGAGCACCTTTTCATATGTTTGTTTGCCTTAAGTATATCTTCTTTTGAGAAATGTCTTCAGATTATTTGCCTGTATGTATGTATATATACACACTGTATATACATATATACATATATATGCCTGTATGTACACACACACACACACACACACACACACACACACACCATTTTGTTTATTCATCTGTTGATGGATATTTGGGGTGTTTACACCTTTGGCCATTGTAATGCTGCTATGAACAGTGGTATACAAGTATTTTTTAGTCTCTGCTTTTAATACTTTGAGGAACCTACAAGTAGACTTGCTAGAATTTACTTTTTATTGCCGGGTGCGGTGGCTCAAGCCTGTAATCCCAGCACTTTGGGAGGCCAAGGCGGGCGGATCATAAGGTCAACCGAGATCGAGACCATCCTGGTCAACGTGGTGAAACCCTGTCTCTACTAAAAATAAAAAAAATTAGCTGGGCATGGTGGCGCATGCCTGTAATCCCAGCTACTCCGGAGGCTGAGGCAGGAGAATTGCCTGAACCCAGGAGGCGGAGGTTGCGGTGAGCCAAGATCATGCCATTGCACTCCAACCTGGGTAACAAGAGCGAAACTCCATCTCACAAAAAAAAAAAAAAAAAAAAAAAAAAAGAATTTACTTTTTATTTTGAAATAATTTTACTGGTACAGAAAAGTTGCAAAAATAAAACAGTTCAGGCATACCCGTCATCTAGCTGCTGCTATGGCAGCTTCTACGAAACTACAGTACAGTGGTCAAAACCAAGAAATTAACATGGGTACCATAGTATTGTCTAAACTACAGACTTTAATTGGACTTCACCAGTTTTTCCACTAAGAGCCTTTTTCTGTTCCTGGATCCAGTTCAGTACCCACATTGCATTTAGTAGTAGTGTCTTCTTAGTCTCCTCTGATCTGTGACAATTCAGTCTTTCACTGTCACCCATGACCTTACCATTTTAAGGAACACAGGTCAGCTTTTTTTGAATACTTTCTCAATTTGGATTTGGCTGATGTTTTCCCATGATGTGTTTGAAGTTTTGTATTTTTAGCAAGAATATCCCAGAAGTGATGTACCGTCCTCAGCACATCATATTAGCGGGCATATGATGTCAACATGTCATACTGATTGTGATGTTAACCTTGATCACTTGGTTAAGGTAGTGTTTCCCATATTTCCTAACTATGAAGTTATTCTTTTTCTCTATAGTAGGAGTAATACTTTGGGACTATGTGAATATCCTGTTATTCCTCAAATTTTTTATCATATAGCAGTGGATTTGTATAGTATCACATAGTATATAAATAATTATCATATCATATAGCAGTGGATCATGTCTACAACAGTTATTACTGTGGTATTCTGATGGTGATTTTCTGTTTCCCTCGTGATTTTTTAAATGCATGCAAAGCAAAGAAGCCCATCTCTTTTCTTACTGCAGTTTCTACATACAAGCCTTTGGGAAATGAGACAAAAGTATCTGAGATTAAATTGGCAACTGACACGTTTTCTTAATATTGGCTCTAAAGGTTTTAATGATGCTGTGGCCACTGAGTATTTTTTCCTGGAAAAAAAAAAAAAAAAGACACTCTTAAACACAATCTGAACATTGCCCAGTGAATGATGTAATGTTTCATGGATCAGATCAGCCAGTGTGGCATTATCAAGAAAAATATGTTCATTGTTTTCTATCAGTTGCCATCATTTTGTAATTTACTTTTTGCAGAAGTCATGGAAGGTTTTCATTCTTCATGCTATAAGAAGAGAATAGGTATTAGAGCTGCCACACTGGCATTTGGTTCCTCCTGTCCCTTCATCCCTTCACATGATTCCACCAGCCCTTAAATGTGATGCTGTTAGAGAAACTGTGGGATCCTTTCCACAGTTGCTCAGCGAGTGACCTCACACAGATGACTCTCATGAGTCCTAGGCTCCCCCAGGAGGGCAGGATGCAGAAGGGAGTTGACAGGTGTTTAATGTGTCCCCACAGGATGGTACTAGTTGCTGCATTAGGAGAATTCATCAATGTACATTTCCTGTTTTCCAGGAGCTCCAAATCTGATATGAAAGAGTTATAGGACAGACATGTAATCAGTGGAAGTGCATGAAAAAATAGCTAAGTGAATTCAGGAGAGGAGTTGAACTTGGAGTTGTGCCGGGTGGATGATGTGCAGGGTTAGCTGCTAAGGGGATAGTGGAGGGGCTGTGCTTTAAAGGGAAGGGAGAGCAGGTCTCAAGCCAGAGAAGCATGAATACTGACAAGCTGGGGAGTCCTCAAGAAGGGCAGTTTGCTTTATGCAAGAGGGCGGGTTCCATCTGACAGCTGGCTCCCTCTGGCAACATCAGACAGCTCCAAGAGGGACCAATGAGCTTGATCTCATGGCCAGGTGGGTCACCCTGTCCTGCTCTGTCAGCTCACAAAAGTCCCCCAGATTCCCCTAACCAAAGAAGCTTTTAATGGGAAAAGAGCTGTCAACAGGTCTATTTCTAAGAGTCAAAAATTCCCAGAAATTATTTTTCTTCCTTAACAAATGGAAACATTGTAACCAGAGTATGCATAATTACAAAGCTAATCTTGCATATCTAGCAGTAAATGATCCACATAAATTGATTATATCAACTCCGTGTATGTCTCTTTGCCTTCATTTGAAAAGAAGAAAAGTCCAGGTATCTAAATATGAGTTTAGCTTTGTTTTTATTTTTGCATTGGACCAGTTTTTCAAACCGTGATGTCTACTGAGAGGGGGAAAAGTTCCACAATGCCCTAAGTAATGTGGCTGGTTCAGATTATATTTTAATATAAATTGGATTTTTACCTTTACGTTGGGAAACATATGAATAGGTTCTTGATCATTATTCTCACATTTTGTAAGCCATTAGAAATACTCTGGCTGCAGGGTTTTTTTGTTTTTGTTTTTTTTTGCCTTTTTTTCCATAAAGAGAACTCATGTTCTCCTTGGAGATTTAATAGCCTCTCCGAGATAATGTCTCATATTTAGTAAGATTTTCATTACTTTTACAAACTATACTCCAGTAAATTTACTGATTGATATACAATGAAGTAGCTTAGATCAGATGGTTCTCAATAAATTAACAAGAAGGAACATAACATTCAGAGGGGAACTAATGAATCACAAGATGCTTCACTTGTTAAGTAACCTTCAGTAAATGTAAAAGGATAATAGCTCAGCATTTTGTATTTTCAGAGTGCCAGGAGCAACCTTGTAAATAAGCAGAGACCTTAAAAGGCGGAAGAGGAGAGAGACTGCTGAAATGTAAATTACTGAATAGTGACATTGATGACAACTTTAAATACCCCGATTCTGTCAGAAAAACTAATCAGTTTGTTCTCCAGGCCACACAATGAAAATGATGTGACGTTTTGCTCATCATCAGAAAATACAGGCCTAAATTCAGTCCTAAATTTAGTTTGGCAGGTTGTAAAAGCTGGACCAAAAGGCTGGTGTTTACGTTGGGCTTTCGTTTGTCTTTGTCTTAAGAACCCAAAGACATGCTTTAAAATCATTACCTTCCTTTTTGTCCAAAGCTAAGAAGTTGTTGAAGGACTTGGATTTCAAATTGGCTCTTCTTCTTTCCGGCTTCTGTGGTCTTGGGGGACGTGTAATTGCCTCTCAGTCTCTGAATCTTCATTGATGCATAATAAACCTGATAAATCATGTTTGTGCAAGCGATTAGCCGGACACCTGACACAGCCTAGGGCTTCCTTGGTAAGTGCTGAGTCCAAAATGTGTGCTGAGAAAAAAGAAATGGAAGTTTCCTGAGCTCTGTGGGCCGGCAGAGAGTCTGTACCTTCCCTCACTGACCATAGAGCTGAGCCAAGGAAAAGGGCACCTGTTAGAAGGGTGGGAAACTGAAGAGGCAGATGAGGGGGTGCTGCTGGGTAGAGACCCCGATAACCTGCAGCCAGCAGAGGCTCACTGCTGGGCCCAGGGACTTGTCGGGCTTCCTGCCTTGGAGAGCACATGCATGCTCTTGGTGTGGTAGGATACAAAGAAGAGTGGCTAAGGGAAAGATGGAGGAGTGCCCGTTAATTCCTCCAGCCCTCTGAGGATACTGGAGTCTGAGGAAAAGAGGAGAATCAGATTGGCTTCCAAAGCAAAGGCCTCAGCACTGCCAGACCCAGTATTTCCTATGATTATAAATATGAGATGAAAGTTGTGAATTATATAACCTTGCCTACCTGTGTCATTTCAAAAGGGAATAATTCTCTAACTCAAATAGGATGGAGAAATAAAAGGAAAATAATTTCTAATAAAGTGATACATACTTCCGTCTTATGGAGTCAGGAACTGTAGTACTGTCCCATTCCCAAGAGTTATACCAGACACTGATGCCTTGTTCCTCCTCACAGTGAGTGTTTTTATTTAAAAGGAGTGCAACATCCTGTTGAATATGCTCAGCCTTTTTACTTAAAATTGACATTATGAAGGGGGAGCGAAGCCTGAGTGTGTTTACATATACCCACATATGAACAGAATTGCCAGTAATGCAATACCTCCAAATCTAGACTAATGTAGGTGTGTTTTACTGGGGGCTCTGACATCCTCAGTGGCATTGACTTTGCTGCTTTGATCTTTCTGAAATGGTGACAGCTCATTGATGACATTTCAGATAAAAGAGAGCACAGATACTGCTTCGTTTACATAGTGATTATGTCTCTGGATAATTCAGTGTATGTTTAAACTGTCAAAAAATTAGATTCTGGCTGGGCACAGTGGCTCATGCCTGTAATCCCAGCACTTCGGGAGGCTGAGACAGACGGATCACTTGAGGCAGGGAGTTGGAGACCGACATGGCCAACATGGTGAAACCCCATCTGTACTAAAAATACAAAACTTATCCAGGCGTGGTGGTGTACACCTGTAGTTCCAGCTACTCAGGATGCTGAGGCAGGAGAATCACTTGAACCCAGGAGATTGCAGTGAGCCAAAGTCACACCACTGCACTCCAGCCTGGGTGACAGCGAGAGTCTGTCCTCAAAAATAAATAAATAAAAAGCTGGATTCTATAAGCCCACATGAAAGCCCCACAGGGTGTTTGAAAGTTTCATGGGCAGTGGACAGTTATTCCTGTGCGGGACTGTCTTGCACATTGTGAAGCAGCTTATGTCCCTGCTTCCCACCCACAGACTAGGAGTAGCACTCTCTAGTTATTATGGTAGCTGAAAATGCTCTCACACATGTCTAGAATGCTCCCTTTACAACATGACCTTACAGGGACGTGAGGATAGAGGTGGAAACAAAATGAGGGGATAAATTTAGCTGTATTAAAGAATGGACTCAACTGAGTGCAGTGGCTTGTGCCTGTAATCCTGGTACTTTGGGAGGCTGACAAAGGAGAATCACTTGAGGCCGGGAGTTTGAGACCCACCTGGGCGACATACAGAGACCCTGTGTATACCAAAAAAAAAAAAAAAAAAAAAAAAAAAATTAGCCAGGGACGATGTGTACATCTGTAGTCCTGGCTACTCAGAATGCTGAGGCAAGATGATCTCTTGAGCCCAGGAATTTGAGGCTGCAGTGAACTATGATTGCATCACAGCATTCCAGCCTGGGCAACAGAGCAAGACCCTGTCTTTGGCGGGGGGAAATAATGGACATTTCATGAATTCAGAATTGTCACTGTTTGCACTTGGTTTCTTTGACCACACATTCTTTTTAAAATAAAACCTCCTTTAGGATAAAAACGTCTTTGTTTTTCTGAATGTCATGCTAATGATTATTCCTGAAACCACTTAAAAAACTCTGTGTATTTCTGATGGTCTTATTTTTTTCCTTTCTATCACTTTTTGTATGCACCATGACTTTAGCCTCCTGGGACTTTACAGCCTTGATTTTTCTTGGAATTGTCTATGGTTACCGGTCTGTCTTAGCCAGGCTAATAGGTAGATACTGGTTTGATCTATTAATAGGTGATTTTCAAGGCTGGGTTCTTGATGTGATGTTGAGGGTTCGTGCCACCTGTAGCAGCTTCCTTGTCACCTGGTTATGACATTATCTTATTTCCAAGTGGGATTCAAGATGCAGAGCCATCACTGTTTAATTTTTGTCTGCTTATGGATGGTTTTGATCATCAAGGGGAAGGACAGAATTCTTGTTACCTCCGTAAGTATAACTCAGTACTATAAAAAGCATAGCACTCCTATCTAGCACAGAAAGTTATTTTCAAAATCGCTTGTGAGACTGAGGTGTTTTGTTCTTTTCCAGCTGACATCCCAGCATCCTTACGCTGAAGTTTTCATTGGGCGGCCACACGTGTGGACTGTTGACCTCAACAATCAGGAGGAAGTAGAAGATGCAGTGAAAGCAATTTTAAATCAGAAGGTTGGTTTCTTTTATTCCACTTTCCCTCATTTCTTGATGTAACCTGAAATGTGTATAAAGCATTATAGGTCCTTGGTTTTAGTAAACAGATCTTTTCCACGTCAGCTTAACCCTGGAGTTAGAAAATAACCAAGCTATAGGATTTGGCCTGGGGATTTCATGAGTGTTCTGTGAAATGGAAACAGAGCTGGTATCCTGATATGGGCATGGATTCCATAGGCCATTTCAACCTGACTCTGGATCCCAGTCACAGGAGCAGGAGCTGGAGTCATACTTGGTTCAGGGATCTGATTGTGCTGCTCTCACAAAGATCTGAAAAGATAGTTCTGCTTGCTCTACAAAAGAGCAAGAAGGGCAAGGAATTACTGGGAAATGTTTTTATAGAAAATCTGAACATTTTATAATTTTATAGAATTTTTAATAAACATTTTATAGAATTTTGTCAAAATAACTATATTTCTGGACTCTTTTGATCAATTCGACAGACATTTGTCAGGTACTTACCATACACAGAGTACTCTCTGATGGGGCTGGGGTTGGGGGACAGGGTGTTGACTTCCATAAACATAGAGGAGGCTGGCTTCCCACCTGTCAGAAGTTTACCATCCAGTAAAGACGAGTTCAATTATCCTCTCTCCCAACTGAGCCTGCCGTGGACTCTCACAACTACACTCTGCTGCTGTACTTTGATGGGAGAACTGTTTACACTTGGTTATGATGCTTGAAGAGAAACCAGTGTGGGCATGTGGGAGGACAGGCTGGATTCACACAGTGTGGGTTCAGTTCTAGCTCTACCACTTACTAGCAGCTTCCCTTCATTTATAATGTAGGCCTAATATTACCATTTTATTGGTCACTTGTGAGGAGTAAATGAGATAATTTATATAAAGTGCTTAAATTCAGTGTCTACTACACAGTGTTTAGTCAATAGTAAGTATTCTGATTCTTGTTGATAGTCTAAATTTCTACACCATTAGCAACATGAAGTCAGGAAATACATCTGTCTCATTTCTGTATTACCAGTGTCCACATAGGGATTTTTTTACCCAGTGGATAGATGGGAGAGAGGAAGAGATGTTTGCAAGTAAGTGTAATACAAGGCTGAATATGTTCAGTGCCAAAGCAACATGCAAACACTCCAGGAGTGGAAGTTGTGGAAGCCTTTCTGGAGAATGCAGCCTTTTAGTTAAGTCTTACAGATGAGGATAATTTGCAAAGTAAAACTGAGAAGTGGACCCAGAAGGGCATGGGTTCAAAGCACAGTGTGACTGAAAGGGAAAAGGCTAGAAAGGCATATATCTTGGGAGGAATGGCCAGTTCGCCCATGTGGAGGCCATCTTACCCCTTTGGGAAACAAAACAGGATAATCAGTTTGTGGCCTGAGGAGCTGCTGATGTCAGTTAATTCAAAACATCTCCAGGGGAGTGAGGGCACTCTGATGCATTATCTGTGCTCTGCCTGCTTCAAGGTGATCTGGTTATGGGGCTTTGCTGTCAGCTTCCCATTGATGATACATACAACCCCAATCCCAGTCTTAGCAGTTTAGGGCAGAAGTCCCCAGCCTGAGGAGACGAGCTGATAAAAAAAAGTGCCAAATGGAATCTGGTTCCTCTAGGCTGCCTCAAAATATCCGCCACATGCCTGAAGCTTCACCACTGGAGTCATGCCTGTGGAGGCGAAGGTTCTTCTTTCTTGATTCTCCCAGTCCCTTAGTATGTGAGCTTCCTAGGGCTGTTGTAACACACTAGTACAGACAACTCAGTGGCTTAAAACAGCAGAAATGTATTCTCTCTGTCCTGAAAGCAAGAAGTCTGAAGTCAAAATGTCAGCAGGATCATGTCCCGCCCCTGAAGTCTCTAGGTGGGTATCCTTGCCTCTTTCAGCTCGTGGTAGGCCTAGGCGTTCCTTGGCTTGCAGCCTCAAAGCTTTGATCTCCGCCTTTATTTTGTGTCTTCTCCCTGTGTTTGTCTCTGTCTTTTCCTTTTATGCAAGATTAGGGCCCAACCTAATTCAGTGTAACCTCATCTAACTGGGTTACATCTGCAAAGACACTAATTCCAAGTAAGATCACATTCATGGGTGCTGGGAGTTAGGGCAGCAGATCTCTTGAAGGGGCACAGTTTAATCCATAACATTTAGGGTAATGCGTGTGCTCTTGAGGAGAGTCATTTAAAAGCTGAGGTAGAGGCAGAAAAGAAAAACACACCAAGAAACATTATGATCAAACTGCTGAAAAGCAAGAATAAGGAAGAAAACCTTGAAAGCAGTCAGAAAAAAATATATTACATTTAGAGGAATAATGGTATTAAAAAAAGCCAACTTTTCATCGGAAATAATGGAGACCGTAAAAGGGGCCTCGGGAGCCAGAATATGTGGGTCCTTTCAGTAGGCCATGGTAAGCGTTCAGGGGTTTTTTTCTGGGGTATTTTGCGGGGGGGGGGGGTATTTTTAGTTTATTTTTAAATGTTCAGGATTTTATAAGTATGATGGGAAGTTTTGAACAGGGGGATGAGATAACCTAGTTTACATTTGAAATCATGAAGAGAAATTACAGATTCTGCTTCACTCAAAATCCTATAGTTAGTAAACGGAGGAGCCATGAGTCAAACCCTGGCCTCCTGGTACCTTCTAAGACCGTTTCTTACTGAATGATGTCAAACCACATCTGTCAGGTCAGACTATGGAGGGCTTCTCATGGAGGCTGATCTCTGAAAGCAGTTGCCTGTAGGAGTTATCCCCTGACTTGGAAAGGTGAGCGGGTACTGGTGGAGATAGGAAATCTCACAAGAAGGGAGGTCAAGAGGAGAAAATGGAGGGGAAGATAAGGGAAAGTTTCCAAGGTCAGCAGGAACTTCACAGTGCCATCTGCAGGCATCCGTCCTGTGGCCCTTGCCATAAGAGTAACAGTCCTTTATTATTATTATTATTATTTTAAATAACAAAGTAGGATACCCAAGAATACTTCCTTGCTTCTCCACAGCTGGCCGAGCTTGGGTTTCTCAATGACTGGATGTGATTTAGCATTCTCCTTCACTCTGTCCCCCAAAGAGGCCTTCACTTGTTCCTAAAGAACTTTTATGCAGAAAACTGCCCAAGCTCCCACCTCCCTAGTCCACATGACAGCTTTCACTTCCAGGGCTTGCCAGAGTTCTCGAGAGCTTTCCAATGCAGAAGGCCCTGCCTGCCCTCACCCACAGGGTCCAGCAATATAGATCTCTCTCCCTCCCCTCCCTTCTTCCCTCCTTCCTTCCTTCCCTCCCATGCTTGCTTTTTGCTTGTCCTTTACAGGAAAATTGTTTGGCTTCATATCCTTTAAAATAGTGAATGGCCCAAAGCAGTGAATGAATCCACATCCCTTTGGTTAAACTGGGCTTGGTTGGTAGGAGAACAGAGGAAGAGTCATATTTCTGTATTTCTGGCTTTGAACCCTTTGAATTAATTCTCTTTCATTTTCTAAGGGATTCCCTTTGGAAATGTTGTTGGAATGACACTTGAGTACATGGCATGCTTCCTAACACATAACCAAATCTGTTTATCTCCTGAAAGATGACCAATGGATGTTTATTTCACTCTACAAATCCTACTTTAACACTGATTAATGAACCCAGATATGCCGTGTTTTCTGTTTTAGATCATTTCTTCTATGAAACTTTGAGAGGAAACTTATCTCTAGGCCGGCAGTATGCACGCCCCTAGTCCCAGGTACTAAGGAGGTAAGGCAGGAGAATCCCTTGAACCCAGGAGGCAGAGGTTGCAGGGAGCCAAGGTCATGCCACTGCACTCCAGCCTGGCAACAGAGCAAGACTCTGTCTCAAAAAATAAAAGAAAAACTTTTTACATTTTGTGTTGAAGGGCTGTGTCTGGGTTAGAGAGGGAACAGTACGTTCAAAAGCTGGAGTTGACAAGGAACTAACTGAGAACGTGAAAGTCAGTTCTTCAGAGTATTTTGAGCTCTTCAGAGATGAGCTGTCTAGGAATAGAGTGACCTCTCTGTTCTTGCAGAATAGTCTGCCATAATATTACAGTATTTACGGCTTAGCCTCTTTTAGCTCTATTCAGACAGATGTAGGCCACTGTGGCCCACATTTGTCCATTTGCTCAGCATTTGAAGACAACTAAAATTTCTGAAGATCATGGTTGAAGATTTTGATGTAATGTATAATTTGACACACAAGAAAAGGGGAGAAGATGCCCTAAGACCAACTACTTGGCTGCCCACTAAGGAGTGTTATTTCTGTTAATTGTCCCATTTTCAGCAAGCTTCTGTTTTGCCTAGTTCTCCACCCTATAGACTTAAGCAAAGACTTAAGAGGTAGCTGGTGAAGGTGCCTCCCCTCCCCCCTCCCGCCGCCGTCTACCCTATTGCTGAGAGGAGCTGTTGGGCTATCTGAAGCAATAATAAGACTATATTGCTGGTGATTTTCTCCCAAGTGAAATTTCCATTTTAGATTGGTAATGCCCCTGAAAACACAGGCCTCATAGTGTAGGCAGACACTGTACAACAGAGATGAAACCCACATTTCTTCCCCTTCTCTAAGGTGTCACAGTCTTCATAAGATTGCCTCCTCTACCCTGAAGAAGCATCCTCTAGAGTTCCCTACTCCTCTCAAATAAAATCTAGGCTCTTTGATACAGAAATCTCAAGCCTTTTTTGGAAATTCAGTGAATTTTCCACCTTACCTCACCAGCTTCCGTAACACTGAACTGCAGTTGCCTGCTGTCCTTTCGCGTTAGAGAGCACACTACTTGCTCCACCAAGGATGTCTTCAGCATCTTGGCCCTCCCCAGTTTGGGCTTGCTAGACTCACAGCCTGCCTTAAAAGCCCAGAATGAGCAGAATTCTGCTTTGACCCTTTAGCTTCCCACGACCTCCTAGCTGAACTCCTTGTGACACTCTTTATTTTTGCATCCTGAATTCTTTGGGTACATGCTAATCTCCCCTACTAATGCAGACCAATGCTTTGGTCACTGTTACGGATCCTGAAACGGCTCGTTGTGTGCTTTAGAGCAGTGACCAGGCATTCATTCAACTGATGTTCACTAAGTTCCTACATGTGCCACACTAAGCCCAGCACTAGAATGCAAAGATGACCCAACAGCATGGACTCTGCCCCATGGAACTTAACTGCTAGCAAGTGGTAACTGCCACCTTTTGTTGAATGCCCACTATGTGCTAGACACTACACTAAGCACCTTTTTTCTCCCAGATAATCTTCACAGCCTAACAAACAGGAGATTTTCTTACTACCCTTTTATATGTGAGGAACCCAAGACTTAGAGATGGCAAGTAGTTTGCTTAGAGACCCATACCTACTAAGGATCAGAGTAAGATCATGACTTGCAAGTCCATAGTCAGCCCTCATGAGGCCACCTCCCGGTGTTAGCACTGTGTATTGAGTGAGTTGGTGGAGGACTGGGTAGGCAGTACAGGCTCTCTGTCCTTCTCCTTCATGGTATCATGTTCTGTTTCCACAGATTGAGCCATACATGCCATATGAATTTACATGCGAGGGGATGCTACAGAGAATCAATGCTTTCATTGAAAAACAGGTAAGCCTCAGAAGTCAGTCTGTCTTTGCTGTGTACTGCTTCCTGTTACCCCATTGGGCTCTCAAGAACAGTTAAGCGCTCACTGCGTTTCTGTGGCTATTTTCCTGTTTTGGGATTCTCTAGAAGCTGGATAATAGTAGCACTGTCATGGTCACCCAAGAGAACCCGTATTCCCTTGAAGTAGGTATGTTCCTGATGACAGTGGAAGGTGAAATGGAAACTTACAACAGGAGAGATGGGATGGTTACTGTGAAGACGCCCCTGACTGTCAGAACCTGTGCCCTGAGTGGGTTCTGAGGTTCATCAGGAAGACTTGGGAGGGGGGAGAGACAGACAGCTTTCTGTTCCTACCTCATCTTCATTTCTCACCTCAGGAAAGACTAGAATAAGCAGCTGTTTCTAACCATTCTTTTAATAATACATGTTCAGCAATTCTAAATGTTAGGACTTTTTAGAGGTTTTCAGACATCTGAAAGCAGGGCCCTTTGTCAAATGAAACCTTGTAATAAGTATATAAAACAAATAAAAAGCAGGACAAAGCTAAGGAGGTGCTGAGAGTCCCACCTTCCCCAGCAAGGCCTGGAAACTGCAGCATGTGCTCCTGGAAGTAAAGGCCAGGAAACTGTTGCTGTCATTTTATAACGTTTTCATTCCTTGGACTTCAAAAGCAACTTACAGCTAGAAATAGACAGACTCAGAACCCCTGTGGGTAGGAGAATATGAGCTCTTTGACTAGATTCCAGAAATCAGGTGCTCTTAAAGGGTAAAGCTTTTTTTTAAAGGCAATCAAGGGACCTTTACACAATAGGGGATGAGGATGGTGCAAGCTGAAAATAGAAATGCTGTGCTGAAAATCTAAGTAGGCCCAAAGTGGGCTTCAAAGGAAGACTTGGTGGTTTGAGGAGACTGAAACTCTGGCGAGCAGCCGACAGTCCTGGGTGCTGCCATTGGAGCTGGGAGCCATGGTCATGTACTTCAGGGTGTGGTGTGTCTGATACACTGAGATTTGTCAGCAGCAAGAGGACATACACTACAGCCAGGCCACGTGGATTTTACTCCTGGCACCATGTGTTTCTATTTGCATGACTTTGTCATGTTACTTGGCCTCTCTATTCCTTAGTTTCCTTATCTGTAAAACAAGGACGATGCTGATAGGACCTACTTCATAGGGCCGATGTGAGGATTGAATGAGCTAATACATACAAAGTGCTTAGAGCAGATCTTAGTGCTCAATAAATACAAACTGGTACTGTTAATTATTTATATATTATGCTATATTGTATTGTAATATACTGCTTTGTAATATAATTACTTGGTTTCATGAGAAACCATTTCAATCTTTATCTCATTCAGCCTTTATATGACACCGGAATGACAGTATCATCACAACTCTAGCAACCACATCCATACAGATTTTGTGCCAGTGCGTGCCAAACACATCATAAAATATCATCTCATTTAATTCTCACAGTAATTCCTGGAGGTGGTAGTAATAACCCCATTATTTAGCTAGTGGAAACCAAGACTCACAGTTACCAGGCTCACAGGTTGCGGAATCAAATTCGATACTGGTTTGATGTGAGGCCAAGTGTGCACCAGCAGTACTTACCAGGACCTCAGGAGATGGAAGGTGTCCAGAGCTTTACTTCCCATCCTCTTGCATCTTCAAGGGCTGCTCACCCTTCCTGCTGCTGCAGGGAGGAACTGCAGGGACTCCTTCAATTGTGGGTCTTAAGACATCACAGCTCTTGCCGCCATCGTGGTGGCTGTCTTGAGATCATACTAAGATCCCTAACAGTTGCTGTTGAAACCCTCTGCCTGTCTCCACTTCCTCTTAGGGAAAATAGTTACTCAACCACTAGGCATAAATAACTCTTGATCAGGTTTATTTCAAGGCTTTTATTTCTCCCCTGAGGCTCAGGAATCCCAGCCAGTCTTTAAATGTTATCAGGTCCTCTGTAACTCTTGCTGTGTTTCCTTTCAAACAGGAAGGTCGTGTTCCCCAAAAAGTCCTAGCTAAATGCTCCATAATGCAGAGGCTCTACCTGGCTTCACCTCTGTATCCCTAGTACCCTGCTATTTACATGGCCAGTGCGCAGTAACTTTCAGGTGACAGAAACAGTGAATGGATGAATGATCAGTGAGTGTGCTTTTTATTCCTGTGTGTCAGGAACCAGGAAGCTCATCTGGGACCTTATGATTTGGAAAACATGTTACTAAGCATAGTAATAAAACTGCAGCCCCTAACCCCCACCATGTAGGCTTTTCGGCAGAGATCTGCAGTTCACAGAAATCCCGAGTTGTTTTGTTTTGTTTGCCTGGTGGTGTTGATTCATTCCTGTACTCTGAATATTTGTTAGCTGGAGCATGCCACGAACTGTGTGGTCAGTTGGGGTGGAGGAGATCTCCAAGTCCCCATCCCTGCCCTCAAGTAGCTACAAGTTTCATGGGGAAGGCAGCCAAGCCCACAGGCAGTGCCACTGCTGTAGGTTCAGCTTAGTAATAGTGAAGTAACGGGATGCTTTGGGATCACATGGCCCAGCCTGCAGAGGGAGGACTGGGGAGAAATGCTAGAGTGTATCTGAAGGCATCTTGTAGGAGGTGAGTCCTGAAGGCAAACTGGTAGCACAGATGGAAGGCTGGACAAGTCCAGATGTAAAGGCCTGGAGGAAAAAAAAAAGGTTGTCCTGGGGAATTATAGACACTTGACTGAAGGAGAGGGATGAGGTAAGAGACCAGGCTAGAGGAGATTGCAGAATGTGAAAAGATGCTGAGGCTTAGCTGAAGAATTCCAGTTTGATTCTGGGATAATAGGAAGCTAAAGAAAGGCTTTGTCACCGGCAGAGGAGCAGTGGAACTATCAAATTGGGGCTTAGAAAAATCATTCCGGGAACCTTGTATTTGGGCATTTCTTATTAAACATTCTCCAAATGCTCCTAAGTGAGCATTAAAGGAGCCTGTTTTGAGTTTATCCCAGAGATTCTGTTGAAGCCAGAATGTTCCCCTGATGCCAGAAGGAAGATGGGAAGCCAAGACCCCATTGGTTCACAGATTGGGTTTTCTTCTTCTTTTAGATGCAGGCCCCAGTATTTTATAGGTTGGCATATTCGTTATTTTTTGCAACTAGACGAATATCGTCAAAGAGCAGCGAGGATGGAGAGGTGTTCCTGGTATGAACAGGAAAGTCTAAGCTCCGAGGAGGCACTTCCTATACCTTGAATGGTAGGAGCACTGCAGCCCTAATTAGGCTGATAACTGCCTTCAGAGTTATCCATGTGATCTGCAAGGAGAACACGGAAGCTTTTACCCCAAAAAACTTTCAGGTTGTCCATCACACTCAGCCAGTGGGCACCAGAGGGTCCCAAGTGACAGTAATTGAGGGCAGCCTGGGCTTCAGTGTACAGCTGAGTAGTCGCCAGCAGGAAACTCACCTCATACCCAACCCTCCCTGGGTGCAGGCACCCGATGAGAAACACTCCTGGATCTAGGAAAACTACTTGCTCTTTCCTGTTAATGTCTCCACTCCCTTTACTGTACTAAAAATGTTGATTCAGAGCGCATGCTCTTTTAAATCAGCTCTCTAAAAGAGATGCTGTCTCCCTCCGGCAGGGGGAAGTTCTTTGTAATCTGTTGTTCCCTATCCTGAATGCTGCTGGGCTCATTAAGGTTTTCGTTATGCGTATGTTGGGAAAGTCTGGATTAGCCTCAGGTCAGAGAGTATAGCAGGGCTTTTTTGAAGGAATGGCAATTTCAGACTGATTTATAAAAACCATACATATACTCTTGAGTCCTATTTTCTATTTTCTGTAAAGACACTGGAAATATATAGGATGGTCTCAGTCATGTTAATTTGTAAAGAGCTGTGTAATTCATGTGAAAAGCAATCTGAAGCGATGGAGGGTGAAAAATTAGAGTTAACTCCAAGGATGGCTGTGGAATCAGCTGAAGGTCCCAGGATGTCTGTTCATCAGAGCCTAAAATAAGCTCACTGCAGCGTGTTCTAGATGCAAGGATATGCCTGTTGCGAATCTGGATGGTCCAAAAGTGGGAGCAATGGTGGAGGTGACAGATTGCAAGGAAAGAGGAAGAAAGTGAAAAGAGAAGTTTGGTACTAGCTTGAGGAATGTTTACTCTTGAGAAATCAATAGCTTTTCTTTACCCAGTCATTCCTGCATCCAAAGAGACAGGGCAGGTAATGATTTAGCACCGAACCCTAGCGGCTGACTGCCTGGGTTCACAGCTTGGCTCTGCTCACCACTGTGTTTCTGACCTTGGGCTGGTTACCCAACATCTCTGTGCTCTTTCCTTTTCTGAGAAATAGGGATAATGCAACCTACCCATCAGGCTGGTGAAGGAAAGAGTAGTTGATAATGTTTAGCACTAAGAACAATGCCTGGCCCTGTGGGTGCTCTCAAAGCCTTCACTATTTGTTGTTGCAGGAGCCCAGAAACCAACCAAGGTGTGTTTTTCAAACTGGCTCATTGACGTGTTCACTGCGGATAGGGTTACAATTCAGTGATTTTTTTTTTTCTTCAGCAAATTGGTAGTGTTACACAACTACCACCACACTCTGGCTTTGCGGCATTTTCATCACCCCAAAAAACACATTTGTCCTTGTTAGCAGTCAGTCCTTGCTCGTACCCCAGCGCTAGGAAACCACTGATCTGTTTCCTGCCTTTTTAGATTGATTATACTTTTCTGGAGATTTCTGGCTTCTTTCACTTAGCAGTATGTTTTGGGGGTTCACCTATGTTGTTAAATTGTGTCAGAACTGATTTTATGGCTGAGTAGTAGTCCATGTATGGATATATTAATACCACAATTTGTTTATCCATTCACCAATCAATGGGCTTTGGGGTTAGTTCTACATTTTGACTAATGTGGTGCTGTTGTGAACATTCACATGCGATTTGTGTGTGGACCTATGTATTTATTTCTGCTGGGTAGACTGCTAGAAGTGTGTCAATCAGGTAGGTTTTGGTTTCGGCTCTTCAAAGGTG